AAATTCAGACAGGTGTGTTGCATTTAGGGTGTTTTGTTACATTTCTTCCAGCTTTTTATTACATTGTTGGAATCTGTTGTAATAAAATCAATTTTAATCTTTCTTTGTAGAAGAGTATAAAGCCACCCATTCTGCGTAGGAAGAAAATAGATGCTATCAGAAGAGAAACTGCTAGTAAACGTTAGAAAACTTCTGTTTTAGAACTCTAACTCTTAAATGCTGCCTGTTACAGAAATAGGTTATTTTTTCTCTGTGTGTCTGGCTAGTGCAGTAGTTTGTTTTCATATGCCCTATGTTGCAGTAACCGTGTCCCACAGACTGCTGCTTCAAACTGGGCTGGTTGTCTCTCAGAGCCCATTTGCCTCTCATCAGTGCTGCTGTCAGTACCCTTTCGTCTTCGGAGTGCAGGGTTGGAAAGCAGTGCTGCTCTTTAGGCAACCTGGGGAATTCTTCCCAGGCAATCACAGTGCATGTCAAGGTAGTTGAACTTTACAAATAGCTAGGCCCTTTATTCCCGTTGCATTTAAAATTTGCAGTTTACAGTTATTAATAATTGATATATGCTAAAGTTTTAATTATAGATTCAGTCACTAGAAAGATTCTGTATACCTTGGACTTAAAAGTGTAACCTTTTTCCTAATAATTTTAAAACAGCAAATGCGGCAAAAAAGTAAGCAGCAAGCCAAAATAGAAGCCACGCAGAAGCTTGAACAAGTGAAAAATGAGCAGCAGCAACAGCAGCAGCAACAGCAGCAGCAGCAGTTTGGTTCGCAGCAGCTTCTGAACCAGTCTGGCTCGGACACACCAAGCAGTGGGATCCAGAGCCCCTTAACGCCGCAGACAGGCAATGGAAATATGTCTCCTGCACAGCAGACGTTCCATAAGGATCTCTTTACAAAGCAGCAGCTACCTGCTACGCCTACGTCGGCATCCTCAGATGATGTCTTCCTAAAACCACAAGCACCACCCCCTACTCCCTCCCGAATCCCTGTCCACGATTCACTGTCTCAGTCTCAGACTCCTCAGACATCATCACAGCAGATATTTTCTCCAGGTTCCACAAACACAAGGCCTCCTTCTCCAATGGATCCATATGCGAAAATGGTGGGAACACCTAGACCAGCACCCATTAACCAAAACTTCGTTAGAAGAAGTTCAATTGCACCATTAGATACCTGTGCACCACAGTCATCCATGTCACGGCCCATTCAGGTAACTGAACCGTCAGGAAGCAGGCCTTCACCAGTCAGGGATTCGTGTTCTTCATCTCCAGGTAGCAGTGATCCCTATGCAAAGCCACCAGACACACCCAGGCCTGTCATGGCATCAGAACAGTTCTCCAAACCATTGGGGGTCCCGAGATCGCCCATAGTTATGGAGCAGTCAGGGAAGGTTCCTTTAACAGCTGGAAGCAGTGATCCCTTTACTAAGCCAGCTCCTAGAACTGACACGTTTCAGAGACAGAGAGTAACTTCTGATGCATACGCGCGGCCGCCATTGACTCCTACTCCTACCCCTGTTGATAGTAGCCCTGGACCTTTTAAAACTCCAATGCGCCCACCTCAGTCCCCCCAAGATCCTTATGCATCCATGCCATCTACACCAAGGCGCGTTGCTGTTGATCCATACGAAAGGCCCCCTTTGACACCGAGACCAGTGGATAACTTTTCCCATAATCAGTCTAACGATCCGTACAGCCAGCCTCCCCTTACTCCCCATCCTGCAATAAAGGAGACTTTTGCACATCCGCCCCGGATGGTGCGGCAGCAGAGTGATTCTTTCCCTCAGTCTGGACCCATTTCAAGGCCAGCTTCTCAGGACCCTTACTCCCAGCCTCCAGGTACTCCTCGACCGGTTGCTGATCCTTACGCCCAACCTCCAGGGACTCCTCGGCCCGCCGCAGTTGATCCCTATTTGCAGCAACCACCAACACCGAGACCCGCTCAGACAGCGGATATATTTGCTCAGTCCCCAGCAAACCAGAGACTTTCGGATCCGTACGCCCAACCTCCTGGAACACCAAGGCCCGTTCTCAGTGATCCTTATTCTCAGCAACCAGCAACTCCAAGGCCAGCGATTTCAGAGAGTTTTAACAGGCCTGCAATGACGAGACCAGGACTGATACCAAATAGAGATCCTTTCCTGCAGGCGTCGCAGAACAGATTGCAGGGCACTTTCGTAAGACCATCAGATCCATGTTCTCAAACTCCCCGACCTGCGGGACCTGCAATAACGGATTCATTCAGCCATGGTCCAGCTACTCCAGCACGTGACCCCTATGATCAACCACCAATGACTCCAAGACCTCAGCCAGAATCTTTCGGAACCGGTCCACTGGCCCATGATGCTGCTGAGCAGCCACGGCCTGGATCTGAGGCCAACTTCAGCGCATCTGGAAATTCTCCGATGAGTTCTCAAGGACAGCAGTTTCCCAAAGTTTCACAGGTTCCTGGCCCAGCACCCACTACAGGAGTAACAGATCCACAGAACACAATAAATATGTCTCAAGCAGATACTGAGAAGTTGAGACAGGTGAGAATAATGTTTAATCCTGATATTAAAATTTCACAAATAGAAGAACTTCCTCCTTTCTTGTTAATATTTTTGAAGTTTCTTGCCATTAAGCATAGCTATGTAACGTAGAATTATCTTCGGTCAGTTAGTATGTTAATTTGGTCCTCCTGGATGGACCCGCAATATACAGAATATAGAAACATATGTAATTTTTAAGGAGTTTGGACAAGATCCAAAAAGGAAGCAAAGGCCATTTATGAAGCCACTGAAGATGTAGGTGACTGGTCTGTATTAACTCTTTTATCTACACCTTGAAAGGACAGTTAATTCTGTCCTATAGTAGATGAGATATAGAACTGATTGTGACTTGTTCACTGACTGAAAAAGGGAGTGTAGGCAAAGATCTCAGACGAGACGTCTCCCCTTTCAGCTGGCTGATGTGTTGAGGTGAATCCTGCTATTGGCCACTGCTCCTCTTGAGGCACATTCATTCCAGGTTTTTGTCAACGAATGTTTGGCAAAAAGCTCTTGCTGAGACAGAGATTTTCATTCAAGTGGTGGAAAGCTGCTCAGTCTCTGGAAGGAGCAATGGGAAGTGGATTTAGCAGAAAAATTGGTGGTATTTTATCACACAGAGTCAGAATAAATTCTGTAGCTTTGGTGTAAACCTCTTGCTTAGTTTTCTTCAGTGGACCTCTAGTCATCTTTTTCCCTCAGAATGTGCTTCTGCATGTGGTAAAGGGGCCTTTGTTATTGGAACAGAAAAAGGAAAAGAATGTTGCTTACCTGTTAATTGGTAACATGGGTTCACACTATACACTTTAACAAGAAGTCTGGAAATAGGATGTGTTACCAGCATCTTGCATCATTTGTTCGCTCTTCTGATTTCTGAGGTGATTATGGTAGTTTATAAGATTTTTCTGTAACAACTGAAGAATTTATTTCTTCCAAAAGGCCTAACCTAGCAGAGTGTAACACTTCCAAATATATCAGTTACAGTGTCAAGCACAATCATTTGTTTTTTTAAACAGCGCCAGAAATTACGTGAAATTATTCTACAGCAGCAGCAGCAGAAGAAGAATGCGGTTCGTCAGGAAAAAGCCTTGCAGGATGCAGCAGCTCCTGCCCATGCAGCTCCTCTTCAGCATTGGCAACAAGACAACTTAAATCAAATTTTTAACCGCCCTCCTCCTCCGTACCCTGGGAACATTAGGTCTGCTGTGGTCCCGCCGGGTGCGCCAAGGTTCACTGTGTACCCAAAAGACCAGCGTGGACCATTTCCTGCTAAAAAAGACCCCAGTTTCCAGGTGATATGAATGCCATGGGGATGAGACCTCACGGTCTTAGGTAAGATCTTTGGTCTCTTAGAACCAGGATATTACAGGGGTAGTTCTCCATTTACAGAAATTGTTACGTGGAGGGGTTTTGTGATGAAAAATCGTTTGTGTTGTCTACAGTAGCTGGTAATCTTCCTGAAGTCAGTACATACAGTGAGTTTTCCTATAAGCATCTGTAACATTAGAATGTGTATTTTACACTAACACTGTTTTACACTGTCTTTTATTGGGAATTAATGAGAAATAAAAATGGAGGAACAGCAATACTTGTGAAAGTTGTGTGACCTGAAAGTTTTGTCACCTGTAGTTTTGGGGCATTTCTTTTAAGAAAACAAAGTGAAAGGTTTGACTTTAGAGCTGATGTCTTCATAAGGAATAAACGTAATATTCTTGTTTCCATTTATAATTAATGTATAGTCAAACATCAGCTTCTGTCTGTGCCATTTTTACAGTGAATGCTATGATACAAAATGAATACCAGTATTGACATGGATTATTACTCAGGAATTAGTATTTTTAGTATTTTGCATTTATTTTAGTAATTTCTAAATCCACACAGTATTATTTTTTATGCTGAGTTGTATTAACAGGTATTTTATTTACTGAGAGTTCTTACTGTCAGTTTTCTATCCATTATTATTATTGGAATTGAAAACAGGTTGTTTATTAAACATAATTAAAGCAATTATTTTATTGTAGTCATAAAGCTCATTTAAATGTAAGCATAATTAGTCAAAATATTTATTTAAATATCTTAATGAACGCATCATGTAAAGCATTTTGGTGAATAGTTATTTAGTCAAATATGCTGACTAGGCAGGCGTGAGAAGAAAGATGATTTAGTCTTTCGTACTTTCTTTTAGATATGGGTTTCCAGGAGGTGGCCATGGTCCACCGTCAGGTCAAGAACGATTCCTGGGTCCTCAGCAGCCAATGCAACGTCCTGGAGTTCCAGCACAGCTGAGAAGATCCTTGCCTATCGATATGCCTCGGCCAGTGAACAATGCGCAAATAAATAATGCGGCTGGGATCTCTCAGCATTTTCCTCCACCGGGAATTCCCGTGCAGCAGCACAATATACTGGGTCAGGCGTTTATCGAGTTACGCCACAGAGCTCCTGATGGGAGGCCAAGGCTGCCTTTCAATCCTGCTGCTGCAAACGTGATGGATGCGGCAGCACAACACCAGCGGCATGCAGGGTTTATAGCCAGGCAGGAATTCCCAGGCCCAAGGCAGGCAGAACCACTGAGACATAATTCTCAAGGTATACCTAACCAGTTGCAGATGCCCACCAGTCTGGAGCATATGTCACAGTCCCAGCAGGATCCAATCAATCCTGACAACCCACCTGCACTTGTCATACGTTCTCTAAGCCATCCACCGGTTGCTGAGGCATTCCCAGGACCACCTCTGTCTACATCTGCACCAAGTGATGAATCTGCAAATTTGCAGATTCCCAGCCAGCCAAGTGATGGTCTAGAAGAAAAGCTTGATCCTGACGATCCTGCTGTAAAAGATTTGGATGTGAAAGACCTTGATGGGGTTGAAGTCAAGGATCTAGATGATGAGGATCTGGAAAATCTAAATCTAGACACAGAGGATGGGAAAGGAGATGAACTGGACACTTTAGATAATTTGGAAACCAATGATCCTCACCTTGATGATCTTCTAAGGTCTGGGGAATTTGATATAATTGCATACACAGACCCAGACCTTGATGTTGGGGATAAGAAAGGAATGTTTAATGAAGAGCTAGATCTTAGTGTCCCCATCGACGACAAGCTGGATATCCAGAGCAAGACAGACGAACCAAAACAGAAGGAACCAGGTGACAGAACTGTTTCCCCCCCTGAGACCCAGTCTCCACAGAAGAAATCTGCTCCGGAAAATGAAATTAAAACAGAAGTACTTTCCCCAAACACTCAGGAGGAAAAGAAGAATGAAAGTGAAAAAAGTGATGGAAATGCTGAATCCACAAGTACTCAACAGGCTGCTGAAGCTGAGTTGAAGGATGGAGAAAAGGCTCCTGTGCAGCCTGCGAACCCAGAATTCCCTGACAAAACTCCTGCTGTTCCTGCTCAAGAAACAGCTGTGCCTAGTCCAGATGCTCAGGGATCTGCTCCGCTGCCTGTTCCAGGAGCAGTAAGTTCCTGCAGTATTTCTGGGTCCACACCAGTCCTCTCAAGTTTGCTGGCTAATGAAAGCTCAGATAGCGCTGAAGCACGGACTCTGGGATCTCCGTCTCAGTCTTTGCCAACACCACAAATGAACCATGCATCAGGTATTCCACAAACACTAATGACACCTGGTGGACAGATCCTGGAAAACACGTTAAATTCGAATTTGGCCATGGTTCCACGAATTAACCATAATTTTCCTCAAGGGTCACCAAATCCAGGGTTTATTCAGGGTCAGTCATCGAATCATAACTTTGGGACGACACAGACGTCTAACCAAGCTGTGGCTGTAGCAAACCGTCCTGGTCCTAGTGGCATATCTGGTCCCCAGCAGATCATGCTCCCTCAACCATTAGCTCAGCAACAAAATCGAGAGAGACCTCTTCTGCTAGAGGAACAGCCACTTCTTCTGCAGGACCTTTTGGATCAGGAGAGACAGGAGCAGCAGCAGCAGCGACAGATGCAAGCCATGATTCGCCAGCGTTCGGAGCCATTTTTCCCCAATATTGGTATGTGGGAGTTCTATCTGTCTGTGTTCTGGTTAGCTTTTCAAAAATACAACAATAAATTGTTAAATAATCTGTAGCGCTGAAAGAAGCAGGTAGTTATATGGAGCTTGAAGGTGGCGTAGCAAAACCCAACCTGTCTAGTGGGTACAAAGGAGGTAGGGAAATGGAGCATGTGGGGACAATTCTGAACTCGGTGGCAAGGCTCCTGTTGACATTGCCAGGATCAGGGTGACTGCATTACTGCAATTTTTCTGACATCATCTCTGTCCTATGTTCTGTTTAGATTTCAGTTTCTCATGGAGTAGATGCACCCTTTGTAAACAAAATTAGATGATCAAGTGCAATAGCTGACCTTTAGATATTTGATCTGTCAATTTTCTGTTTATGGTTGGTTTATTACATTTTTTTTGCAGCATTTAGTGTCTCTCAAGAAGAGGGATCATTGAAAGCTGCTTTACTGGCAATCTAGGCAAGGCACAGAAACAGCACAAATAATTCTGCACATACTAAAAGCACGTACAAATTTAAGATAAAGTGTCATTTCCTATTTAATACAACATAGCAGTTTGAGCATCCAGATCAAGACCATCACTATCCTTTCATTGTTACTCATGAGATACGACATTCTGAAAAATGTGTTAGTTGTAACTACACTGACCATCAGGGCTGTTTGATGCAAAGACAAATTTAACCTGCCCCCTAAATCACAGTGCCATATTTGTAGTGTGGCTTGAACGTGCTGTAGCCACCCCAGGTGGCCCAGATGACTTCCAGAGGTCCCTTCCAACCCCAGCCGTTCTGCACTCCCATTTGTCCTGCTCTGTGAGGCACCTAACGGGAGAGACAGCACAAAGGCAGAGTTCACTGCACTCACAGTCTCTTCAGATGCTATATGGGATGTGTGCGTTTCTGCCTGTAGGGCTGCTGGTAATTACAGGGTGGTAAGAACTGGTAGTAACAGTTTTCTTAGTATGTTAAGTAGTGGTGCATCAGTTTTGTCAACTGAACTCACAGAAACAATTCTTCCTCCCAATTCTTAAACCTGAAAGAATTTATTAATCTGTTGGGTCATCAGCCTTATTCGTTCTGGGGCCCTCCTGAGAGTGACCTGCTCTGCTTTGTGTGTTGTGGCTGAGAACAAGGACAGATGCTGCTGGAGCAGCTTAGAGGATATATGAAACTACATACTAACCATGAATTTCATAATGGAGAGGACAAGTAATGTGAAATAATAATGCAGCTATGTTGTTTTACTGATGATTTATGCATGAGCTAGATCTAAACAAGTCTATTCCAGTTAATAACTTGTAATATTCAGCTGTGTAATTCACTTTTCCTGTTTTCCTTTTACAGACTTTGATGCAATTACTGATCCCATAATGAAAGCAAAAATGGTGGCTCTTAAGGGGATCAATAAAGTCATGGCACAGAGTAACATGGGGATGCCACCAATGGTTATGAACAGGTAGGCAACACATGATACCATTCTTTGGGGCTACAAAATGTGAAAGGAAATTATAGAGTTAGGAGCAACTGTGCACAGGAAATGGAAAAAATTAAAAGTGGAGAAAGATCTTTTTGTCATGTAGTTGATAGTCCATGCTAATACAAGATTGTCTCCTAATGATAAAACGATGGCTGCACGTGTAATAGTTCAAATTCATGTTGCAGCATATCAATTAATGCTAAGTATAGTTAAGATTTAGCCCAAGTAATGGAGGTTTCATCCTCTCTTTAAATCTGTTTGAGGACAAAAGGAGCTGTGAACTGTGCAGACTTCACCATGGCTGCCTTTACCACAGGTGGGCAGTCTGTGGCCAGAAAGGATCTGCTGCTTTTCTTTTTAAAGGCAGACAGTTAAAACAGTTTGTTTCTCCTTTCTAACACATACTTCAGTGTTACATGATAACATGTGGCTTGCCAGAGGTGTTTCCACAGCTGAATGTGCTGGTGACCAGGATCCAAAATCCATTCAACCCTTTTTTCCCCTATCAATTTGTATTAAAACATAAACACAGATATTTTTTTTGCGCTTCTACACTGTTTTAGTACAGTACATAATGTTTACTTCATCTCTTTGAAAAGTGTGAATTGTAGTAGTTTCAACCAAGGGCACAGTGTTGTAGCATCAAATGAGAATTAATATCCTCCAGACGTTGAAAAGGTTTGGTGCAGAAGTTCAAGCAAGTGTCTGTAAAATATTTTGATGCTTTGTGTAAGCTTGGTGTAATACAAAAGGTTGTCTCTCCCCTACAATACTCACCAGTTTTAAAAGTTGTAATTTCACTTCTGTTTATATATCAATAGGTTTCCCTTTATGGGTCAGCCAGTGCCAGGGGCTCAGACCAGTGAAGGCCAAAATCACATGCAGCAGGCAATTACACAGGTAATACAACTTGGTATGGGGTTTAAACAGAAGTGTTTAATAATGATTACTGGTTTTGGTTTTTTAATTGAATCATGATTTAATACCTTTGTCTATATGTTTTACTGACTTTTCTAGGACGGAAGCTTGACGCCTCAGATTTCTAGACCTAATCCTCCCAATTTTGGTCCTGGTTTTGTCAGTAAGTGCAGATCTAATCATTTATTGTATGTTGATGTTTCATTGTACAGTTCTGTGTTGTTGAAAATGAAATATCTGTAAGTGGATCCTGTCTCAGAAATTCATCCCTTTAAAATTGACTCATTCATCATTATGATACCAACTAATAAAGGGGTGCATAGTAAGTGCTATGAGCATGTTGTCTAGAAGCTGCTGTCAAAGAGACACCATAAGGAAAGAAGGAAACAGAATGAACAGGAAGTTAGTGTTGTTTGGGTTTGTGTGAGAATAGAAATTCATTAACTGACAGACTGCTATGTCAAAATCCTGGTCTTTGGTTTTGTTGTAATGTTCTGAGCTCGGTGTTGGTGGGGAGTGTTAAACTACAGAAGCCAGAAGTTTTGTGCAGCATCATCGTCATTTTAACAAATAGCAATAAAAGCTTTCCAGGCTTTAGTTAAGCAAGACTGGCTGGGAGCCACAGCTGTTGAAAGCAGAAATATATAGCACTAGTATTTTGCATTCCTTGTTTCTGGTTGCCCTAGATCAGTTGTAAATCCTAGTCTCTATGATAAGAAGGATTTATTAGCAGAAATTTAAGCTGAGCATCTATTGAGAGAGAGAGACCACATGTAAAAAAGTGTTTCCATCACTGCAAAAATTCGATTTGATATTTATGTGTAAGAAGGAGAAGTGAATGCCTTCATCTTTTCCAGAAACCGGAGTAGCAGGACCAATTATGCAACGAGGAGCTTTTGCAATATTAGCTGTATTAATTTCTGGTGACATTTGACATGGCACTCAGTGGTGGCCCTGCTCTGGTTGGCGTAGTCCGGTTCTGAGCATTGAGAAAACCTTGATTTCTCATTTCAGTAGTAGTTATTCTTACCTGGAACGTGTTAATATTTCACTGCTTTCATTTGCGCTTTCGTGTTGCTCCCATCTGCAGTTACTCTCCATCGTTTCCACTCAATTGTCGCTTCAGGTTATGTGATTATTTTTGCAGGATTTATCGTTAAAAGAACGGGCACCCCTCAAGACTGCAGCTCCATGAATTGATTTAGTGGAGCTGTCGCTACCGCAGTGACTGTTTAAGTAGAGGGTGGTAGGGACTGGAGCACGAGGAGGACGTGGTTATATTGAAATCATACTGTATCTTTATAATAGGTGTCAACGATACTGTACCTTTAACATAGGTATCTTTATTAAACAAACTATCTTTACAAAGAAAATCCATGCCATATTCCTGGTTACCCAGCTCATCGCCACAATGCGATCAGGAGACAAATGATGCCATCACCAAACCTTCTCTCTCGCCTTCTGGGCTTAGTGCAGATCAAGTGTTGTCACACACGTTTGGTTTCCCTCAAGAAAAGCATCTGAGAGCAATGGACTGCTCACAGCAGATGAGCGTTTCTCGTTTGTTAAATGAGTAATGTCTCAGTTCCAGTCCAAATGAGAGTGCGGTTGTTTATGGGAAGGAAAGGCTCTGGAGCTGAAGGCCTTGTGTGAGGACTGACAGAAGGTTATTTTTACAAAGTCAATATCTTCCTTGCATTTCATGAATATTTGATGGATGTTTATAATTTTACCTTTTTATAGTAGTAGTAAAAATAGATTTTATGTCTACAAAACTCTTCCCCAAACACCAGAATTAATGAGGCCGTGTTTCCTGTAAATCTATGACCTTACTCCCTAATCTGTTTCCCTCTACCTGAGTACGTCCAGACGTCTTCCATGTCCCCTCCTCTGTGGCAGAGCAGGGTACCACCAGGTTCTGTAGCTGCTTTCAGAGCTGCGTTTGCTCGCTGGCCAGCAAGTGTGCGTTTACTGGCTAGACAGTGGGTTAATGTCCCTTGAAATTAAGGGACTATGTTAAAACTACTTTCTCTCAATAAATGCAGTAATTTGGATCTCTGAGTCCTTTACTCAAATCACCCCAAGAGCTTCATCTCTCTTGAGATATCAAATCCTCTGTCAGGTTTGGCTGAGCTTGACCAATGGCTTCTTAAAGTATGGGGGGAACCTGATTGTTAAACTTCATCTCGACAAAGTAGGATGAGAGCTCACCCCCAGGATGAGATCATACCATACTTAATTTCCCTTCTCTCTAGATGATTCACAAAGAAAGCAATATGAGGAATGGCTGCAAGATACACAACAACTTCTTCAGATGCAACAGAAGTACCTTGAGGAGCAGATTGGAGCACACAGAAAATCCAAAAAGGCGCTCTCAGCAAAGCAGCGCACAGCCAAGAAAGCTGGCCGTGAGTTCCCAGAAGAAGATGCAGAACAGCTTAAACATGTTACTGAGCAGCAAAGTATGGTCCAGAAACAGCTAGAACAGGTAACCATGTGTTATCCAAACTGATCACCTTAATACTGAGCTGTCATACTGGTGTGACTCTTTCCTTTAAATCTTCTAAAAGGCAAATTGAAATGCTTAAATACAGTGGAGTTTATTTAAATGGAGCCACTCCCTATCGTATTTTGTGCATGTACCTGGAGCTGTAGAAGAATAAGCTGTGGCAAACATGACAAAAAGCTGTTTTAGTACTTTGGGAAGAGGGGAAATTCCTTGGCAAAATGACTTGCAGCAGAGTTCCTGGCACCATGAAAAACATAAATAATAGATTCAGAGGAAAGTCTCAGCATGCAGGGCTTTGTTTCAGGCTTGAATGAACCTCATAACTCAGTCTTTTTCAGGTGTCCTTGTGTGATCAGAACCTCTTGGTTACGTGCCAGTTAAGTGTTACTGTTTGAAAATCTCTTTTTGTTATTTCTTTAGTTGTTAGTTTTATGTTCTGGGTTTATGATTGGTCTAGTTCCTAGATGCCGATCATCAGTGTGTTCTATCTGTTATGGTATCATGGAATAATGTAAGTCCAAGGGATATCTGGAGATCATCTTGTCTACTGATCAAGTCTACTGATCAAAGCAGAACTGGCTTCATGGTTAAATCAGGTTGCTCAGAGCCTTGTCCAGTCGAGTTTTTCAAGTCTCCAAGGGTAGAGATTGCCCACCGTCTCTGGGCCCCAGTTCCAATGTGTAACCACTTTCACTGGGTTTTGCTTTTCTTTCTTCATACTCACTTGGAATTTCCCTTGCTACATTGTGTAACTGTGATCAGAGTAAGTGAGATTAAAGTTAAACCTGTGATAGCTTGGATAAATCTATGCTTTGGCCAACACTACTCAATGCTGCGTTCCTCAAGACATGGTTTATAAATCATCTGGCATGATTATCAGGATCAGCTGGACCTGCTGA